CTCCGATTCAGGGTCCAGTTCTCAGTCGGAATCAAGTTCCGACGAGAGCGAGAAAAAGCGAAGGAAGAGAAGGAAGAAGTAGGATGGGAGAGGAATCAGGTGGAGAAAGCTTTACTCGGCGCAACACATCGTCGTCAGTTGTGTTCAGATCAGCTGCCTAGTTGGACTCTGTTGCGTGTGCATGTGTATCAATCAGAATTTAGCTCTTGGTGCTTGTTGAATCCAGGACTTCACTATCGAAGCAACGAGGGCCACACCAGCCGGAAGAAGTTCGGTTTTTCTTGGTAAATTTTAGACAGCACAGGTTTTGTATCCTTCAGAGTTTTGTATCTGCTCAAGAATTTGTCACCTTACCGGTCTGTATGTTGGTTTGCTACAGCATTGATATTTTTTTTTTCCAGCAACGCCACTTAACTCCAATATCTTTGTGCCTAATAATAATATGAACGATGAATGTACGCTAAGTCTTATCGAAGGCCTTCTCAATGTTATCATACTTTTGTCTATGCTTCGCTTAGTTGTGCGGTGGCTTCAAAGTGGATGAACCACCGCCACCAGTCAATATCTTTTAGAGCATGTGCAATAGTCTGTATGTACAATCGTTGTTATAAGCGTCCATGTCAGCAGTCAACAGCATATCATACAGGCTCTTCAATAAGGCGTATGTTAAGCGTGTGTTAAACAATCAGGCGGGTCCACTAAATGTTGAAGAAATGAACAGAGTTGCCTCGGAGCTTGTGCGTGGAGTGTTGCTTCAGGTTCATACCAATGCATTCTCTCTTTTTTTTTAATTATGTGCCATGTCATCAAAACAGCCTAGTGGCAAATTTACCAACGATGATCATACAATTGTTGGAGATGCCTTTACCGGGTTAGAGATATTTATGGAGGATCATCAAATACTAGAACCACCTCCACCACTTAAGGCATCTCCAACGGCTGTAAGGTGTTGGTAAATTTGCCATCTAGAACATAGTGATGATGTGACATGTAATAAATATGGAGAGAGAACAAAGTTGTATGTACAATAACCAACAACCTTTGCACAAGCTTCAAGGTGAAATAGAGAGCAATCATATTTATTTTCTCATCATCTATTGGATAGCTTACACACAACCTATTGGAATAGTTGTATGATAGCTTGTTGGTTGATGACATGAACATTTTACCAACAAGACTAACATACAACCTGTTGGACATGCCCTTATCAATCACAAGCCTTTAAAAATTTAACGCGTCCAATAACTTGCTCACTAAAATGCTCGTACCAACGAAAGAACTCAAGGATAATAATATGACGTGAGGACTGAACACTGTAACTTCAAAGAGCTCAAGTATCTAAGCACATAAGCCCAGTGTCCAAATTATGGACCAAAATGCTACGTGCCACACGTGCACGTGTGGCATGAAGCACTCCGGTACTACTTTTTTTATAATATAAAATTGCCATCCAAAAAGAGAAAAAAACTTGCCATTGAAAAAAGTTACCATTCTTAACAATTAAAGTTGTCATTCTCACGTCGCTAAACTTGCCATAAAAACGTTCGCAGTTGCCGTGTGTTCGTGGCACACTTGTGACACTTATCAGGGTCCATTATGAAATGGCCAAGTATGATTTTTTTTGAATGATTTTGTATGATTACAAAATATGGTGTTGTTTCTTTTACAATTTGGGGATAGAAAACACTCTCCAAATCAACCGAAATTCAGAAGCCATGTTCGGTTATGATGTGCTTGGCAGTCTACGTTTGCATGAGGCCAAACCAGGCCCGCGCGGTGCAAGAGTCAGGCATCTGGTACGCCCGCATGTTTTTCGTAAGCCACGTGTGGCTCTCACCTGCACGCGTCGGGAAGCACGAGAGACGACACGAGGTCGCATAAATCCTCCCTTCTCTTCATTCACCGCCCATTTGCATTCACACCACACTCCCTTCTCTCTCTCTCTCTCTCCCTCCGCCCATTCGTGCTCTCTGGTGGCTGACCCTAGCCGTGCGTCGCCCCCATCCTCGTTGGCAACAACGCCATCCAAGACCGGTGGGTGGTCGACCTCAACCAACCCGGCATTGACATGATGTCGGCAATCCGGGCATCGTCCTCCATCTGCACCAGGTCGCAGTCAGCGGCCATTGACCCACCGCACACTGTCGTGCTAGTTAGTACGGCATTGACTCCAGAGGTAATCATTTGGGGCGAGTCGACGCAGGGAAGCAAGTCGGCTGCGATGGCGACGACGACGGGAAGCCCATTGGTCGGGCTTGTTAGAGGTTTCTTTACCCCAGTTCGAGGGTTTTCTCCCCTCACTCCAAGCCAGGCCGAGGGGAGCGCGACCGGAGCTTCAACGACGACATCCTCTTCCTCCACTGCGCGCGTCACGAGGTGCACTGCTGAAGTGGCGAGGGCCCTCGGATCGGCGTCAGTCGGACCCCTGTTCCCGCTGGCGTTCGCTTCTCCGGAACAGCTCCTGTAAACAATTTGTTTCACATGCTCCCGTTAGTAGTTAGTTTTTTCCTAGTTTCGGATCAGTTGGATTCACTTGCACTTGACTAGATTGGATTGGATTCGAATCCAATTGATTGCCAGTGAATCACAACAATGCTAGATTGGTAGTTCAGGTGTTCTTGCTGCTGCCCCACCCTGACTAGGTTGTTCTTCCTATCACGACAATGCAATAGATTGGTAGTTAGGGTGTTCTTTCTATGATCCCAATGCTGGTTAGGGTGTTGCTGTAATCAAAATGGTTGCTAGGTTGTTGGTAGAGTCACAATGCTAGTTAGGGTGTGTGGATGAACACATAGTCTGTGTGCATGATCATATAGTAGGTGCTACGTCGTCCGTCCCAAAATAAGTGAGTCAACTTTGTACTAGCTTTAGTACAAAGTCGAGTCGTCACTTATTTTGGGATGAAGGGTACATTTTTACATGATCATAGTAGGACAATGCATGTGCATGATATAAATAGAAGTAGGACAAATGTGAATGCATTTTAGGTAGTTTTGACCATGGTAATGTCCAAGTACAACTGCCATGATCAGTGGCAATTGCAATTGGACAATGCTATGATAAGATCATAGCACTATCCAATTGCAGTTGATATAGCATTGCCCATTTGCAACTGCCAATGATCAGTGCAATTGAGCACTGATCATAGCAATGCCCTACATGTGCACGCATGTTGGGAAGTTGCTATGATCATGTTCTACCCAACTGCATGATCATAGTATGATATGCTATGTACTTACTCACGTCCACTGAACTAGCAAGGTCGTGAAGACGGAGTGGGACACCGCCGGTAGAGGGGCGCGGGTCATCGCTAGTACCGAGGATGCCGAGGACATCACCTCGGCCAACCGGTGGCTCAAGAGGGTGGATATGCCTGGAAGGCTCGCCGCGATGAGCCAGCCGGTGGGCATTAGTCACAGGCCTAGAATTGGTCACGAGGAGGGGGCATGAGAGCCGTTGTGGTCCTATGTGCCCATCAAGGACGTGGATGACATTCCCATGCTTGTCATCCTGAAGCCTCACCGCGTCGTCAGACTGTCTGCTAACAAGTGGTGCGAGTTCTAGGCCAGGTCTAGATCTTCCACGAGCGTATGGTACTGAGGAGGGGCTGGGACAACTTTTGCCAGAAGCACAAGATCGTCCCCGACGACCTGCTTGTCCCGAGGCTGTCCGGTCTGGGCTTCAAGGTGCAAATCTACAACACCTCCACCTCCACCATGTGCAAAGTCAGGTACCATAAGCACTACTGTCAGGGTGACATCCACCGTGCTTTCTAGTTAGCTCTCTTAAACTTGTTGTCAGTTTGGGTGTGTTTGTTCCGAACTTGTCATGAATTTGCTGCCAAACATGTACTATATTTTTCCCAAGAGGATCAGCACCCTAGGGTTGTGCAGGGACATGGGTTTTCCATGTTGTCTTACACTTATGTCTTGGATCTTATGATGCACTGTTTAATAGCGTGCTAGTGACTATGAGTAGTGTTAATTGTGTTGTGTTGTTCATATGTGATGTCTGCTATGAAGTATGCCGCATTTTGGTGGTAAAAGCTACCACATTCGATAGGGGTGAACAGAACAACTACGCACACAGCCAAACTATTGTTGTTTGTATGTGCTCACCCCTGAAGCACAATGCACGACACCAAACAAGATGCGTAATCTGGCCACTGATGCAATGCAGACTACCAAACGTGTGAACAACATGGTTTTTAGTCTGCATTAGCTCACCCAGGCCCAGTTGAGTCACACATGCAAGGGGTTGAAAAAAGGTTCAGGCTACAAAACGCATCAGAAGTGAACAAAGCATGAAAACAATGACAAAGCTGCATCGACCAAACATTTGCAAGAAAGAATACAACACGCAGTGTTCCAATTGTTATTTTAGAAATTTTGAGTATGTGACTATCTATATGGCGTGTAGGTCATCTCTTTCCTGAAATTATGTGTTTCTAATTTTGGCTTGAAAGTGGATGAACCACCGCCACCACTTGTCTATTATAAACCTTCATATTTTTAGCACGGCCAATAAATTGCTAATTAGAATGCTCATATCACATAGCCTAACTTACCTATTCAGCGGAAGACTAAGACTAGGCTCAAGTATCTAATAGCACATAATCCCAGTTTCCATATTTTTTTTCGAAACGGAGGCAAAAGATTTGCCTCAAGTTTCCATATTATGAAATGCCCAAGTATGAATTTAGATATATTGTCCTTTCTGTATGCACTCTTTCTTGAATGGTTCTCTATGTGCTCATTTCAAAATATGGCATTGTTTCTTCTGCAGTGGAGGATACGATATACTCTCCATATCAACTGAAATTGAGAAGTCATGATCGCATAGTGGACAAATCATGAAAGCAATAATATCAAAGCTGCATCGACCAAATATATTTGGATGAATGAATACAACATGCAGTGTTCCAATTGCTATTTTTGAAATTTGAGTATGTGACTATCTATATGGCAGGTCATCTCCTTCTTCTTCAAATCAACATTTGTTCATTCTGGACTGTATGCGGAAGTATATTCCCCCATTATTCGCAGCCAGGCCCAAGCCTCACAACTTTGAACCATTGAGCCAACGGCTGTAGAAAGCCAATGCTTCCTGTGGTTTGTATTCAGGAACGGTGTGTCCAGCGCCCTGTGAAAAAACAAACGAAAAGGTACCGGAATTTATTTTTTTAAGTTAATGATGTGCTCATACATTTTCTTACTAACTGTAATGACCATGTATGAAAAAAATGTATGCTTACCTTAATAGTAGCAAAAGTGAGACCATGTTCATAGCCTTCGGTGTACCTAAGGAGTTCAACAAACAGGCATTGTGAGTTACATTCTGCTTCTTTCATTTCCTTGGTGTTTTCGTAACATACTCCCTCCGTCCCATAATGTAAGACGTTTTTTGACACTACTCTAGTGTGAAAAAACATCTTACATTATGGGACGGAGGGAGTACATTCTTAGCTTGAACCGTGCCAAGTGCAAAGTAACATAGCAAGCGTTTTTCATTTTGTTTTTACAGTTAACCCTCGTGAAAGTAATTATGAGTTCATCTCAAGGATACTTCAACTTGGAGATTAATAAAATTTAGCAATAATAGTTCAGTACCCGGAAACTTGTTCGTTTGTGAACCATGGTCGCCATGAGTCAACAACTCCATACCCCATAGATTTTGTCCATGCTTCACTCCCGGTGTACGGCACACACATATCATGGTCACCACTGAAACAAATGCAAAATAGTCATTAATAAAAGCAGAGAATGTGACAATCCATGAATAATATGGCATCCGATTTGCTTCTCTCTGTCTAGGATAATTCTAATGAATCATTAAGGAAATATATTCACTATAAGATAGTGAACAACTCAAAAATCTTCAGAAGAGTTAGGATGCCAAATTTTGCTCAATACAGAGATTAGAAAACAGCCACACAAATAAGATAAGAATATCATTCTACAGGTTCATGGTGTACCTGAATATGATGGCACGATAGCCCTGGCTTGTGAGGTTCTTGTGATAACTGATCATACTGCCAGCATCATGGTTGAAATCAATTTTATCTGTGCATAAGAGCCATGGCCCAATTGAACTTACCTAGTATGAGCATGAAAAAGCTAGAGTTAGAAAAATGGGAGTGTCTTCAGTTCCATCTAATGCTGACTTATGATCATACTGATTGCGCATGGATTGCAGATCTGACGCCATCGTTGTCCAGCCATGCCGTTGCCACTTCGTCGCTCTGTAGATGAAGCAAACTAAATGTTATCAGATACTGGGAAATGAGCATGTTATTTATCTCTTGCAGACAGCAAATTTCCTCTGAACTATATTTAATTCGCAAGCGCAAGGATTTTAAATGGGTAGTATCTTTCTCTGAATTATGCTTTAAGCTTACCATGCATGGAACACCACTTGCAACTTCCTGCCATAATGGAACGCGCCCGGCTTTTACAGGAGCTCTCAGAGGCCAAGCACGCCCAAGCATTCTTGTTCTTACAGGAAAGGGCTTGTTAGTTGTACCAAGATCTTTGAAACTTTTAGGTAATTTGCTATTCTGCGGGTTTGCTTCTTTGATGCTTCTGCCGTGGTAGCATGGCTCAAGAATGTCGTAAATGTTCAGTTCGCTGATTAACTGTGAATAACAAAATAGTCAGTGCATCATCATGAGACAAGAGCTTGCAGTTTTCACTCTGAAAAGGTGACACTGGTTTTTACCGAGTCGATTTTCCCTAACGCGCTTTCACATTTACCCTCGCTCGCATTCCAGTAATTTCCATGGCACGTCGTAGCAGCTTGCTGCATTGTGAGTAGACAGGGTGATTTAAAAGAAATGTTTTGAAGCAAATATCAGTAGGATACTGAAAACTAATCTGGTTCAAATTAACTGGTGATTTCTTTCTGTCTGAATTACCTACCTGGTATATTTCCTCTGATATTAGACCCATTCCATGTGCAAATGGCACAAGAGCATTACCATCAAAAACAGTGTCGCAGACGCCATTCCCCACCATGTAGCCCTATCATAAAAGTACAGGTCAAAACGTCAAACCTGATTTACTTGGCATTTCATAAAGTTTGCGATCAGCAAACCGAGAAAATTCATCTGTACACTAACCTTGAAGTTTATAGTTGGCTTAGCTCGTCCTTGTATTCCTGTGGATAATTAATTAGTCAGTAAATAAGAAACCCAAATGATTAGTAACTATATACTGATGAAGGTGAGTAGAAAACCAGGGCAAGACCTTTGACAACTTCATGCGAAAGAGTAGGGACATAAACCCCGGCATACGACTCCCCAGCTATGTAGAATGGGTTGCTCAGGAACTCAGGATACAATTGGAACCACTGCATATATAGAAGCCACAACTTAGCTATATTGCATAAAGATTATCTTTTAATAGACCATGCTAACATGAATACACATGCATACCTTGAGAAGGAAAGTATGCGAATCCGCCGCGGTCTTGAGGTCTCCCGTTACATAATCTGAAACATTCTTTGAGTATGACAGCCCCACACCAGCAGGGGAGTCCAGGTATATCATGGTAGAGACCTAAGCCACAAGAAAAAACAACTCTTAAGTTAGATATACCAACAAATAGTTTGTTGCTAATTATATACACCATTAGGTCAATGGAAGCTAGTATCCAACCTTGGACCAGCTGTAAGGGTTGAGATGAAGCTTTGGTAGGCTTTTAACTGACCCGCCTGATTCAAAGTTGAATGGCCCTGAAAGTAGACCAAAATGAATTGTACCATGAACTTGAAAGTTACATGTAATTTCAAGTTAATCAATTAATTCATTTATTCATGATTTTACAAGAAACTGTGTGGATATATATGTGCAAAGTAGTGAAGAAAAGTAGTAATACTTAAATGTTTCTACTTAAAGGTAAACGGCAAACTATAAATCTTCAGAAAAGGATCTTGTTGTCAGACATTTCGTCTAGCACTGGGCGTGCTTCCCTCTATTTGGGACTTGTCGTTCGCTTACACCCTACGAGGCAGACCTTTATTCTAGAAGAAGAAAAAATAGTTGACCTGTCCAGGACCCAAGCTTCCTCTGCTTCTCTCAAGGTATCTATCTGACCAAGTGTGTGTCTGTCACTTTCCTCCGAGTTCAGATAAGCAACGGACAAGTTCGAAGCGCGTGGACGGCCTAGATTGAGTTCAGTACCCGCAGAGCGCTAGCCAGGACCGTTGATTCTCTACCAGAGGAGTTTCGAAATAACCTTTCCGAGGGGTACCCTTTAACTAGTGATTAGCAAATATGTCCGTGCGTTGCACGAGAGCAAAAATAATTCATCCCTCGTACACCCACTCAAAGTCACAACAAATCCCTTAAAATCTTTCAGATGCTGAACAACAAACAACATGATAAATGGTGTTACGTAAAAACATAAATACGGGGTGACTTTTGAAACGTTCTTGAGATATTTCCAATTTATTAGACAACAAAAATATCTACCTAGTTGCCGCTATCGATGATAAGTTTATAGGTGGCATTGGGTGTAATATGTGGCAACTTTAAGGGCAATTTACATGATGTACCGTCAAAAGCAATAGCCTATTTAATATTACGAAATCTATATCTCTTTCTGTATCTATATCTGTATGTGTATCTATACCTATTTATACCTGTATAAGGGAAATCTGTATCTATATCTGTATGTGTACCTATACCTATTTATACCTGTATAAGGAAAATCTGTATCTATATTTGTATGTGTATCTATACCTATTTATACTCCCTCCATCCGGAAATACTTGTCATCAAAATAGATAAAAGGGGGTGTATCTAGACATATTTTAGTTATAGATACATCTCTTTTCATCAATTTTGATGACAAGTATTTTCGGACGGAGGGAGTACCTGTATAAAGGAAATCTGTATCTATATCTATAGGGGTATATAGATATATATATAGATATAGATACAGATAGAGATATGGATTTCGTTCAACCCGGTTTTCGCCGCAAAACCGGACTAAAACGACCGAGTCGGCGGTCCTTCGCAACTGGAACACACGGTGTTCCAGCTTAAAAAAAACCGGACTAAAACGGGTGGTGTGTACGTGAGGCAGATTCCGTTTGTACGCCCTTGTGCTTCACGCCAAGGCCTTTACTCCATCGACCGCGGAAAACCCAGCGAATCAGACACGGCCGGTCACCACCACCTCCACCGGCCGCTCAGCGACTTCCCACCAGCTAGCCACCGGGCCCCGCTTCCCTACTGCCACCGCTAGCGCCAACGGACGGACGAGGAGGAGGACGACGAGGGATCGTAGGGGAGAAGACGCACCGTGCTCGTAGACGAAGCCGTCGAAGCTGGAGCAGCCGGGCCCGCCGTTGAGCCAGAGCACGACGGGGTCCTTGGCCGGGTCGCGCTCCGACTCCACCGCGTAGTAGAACAGGTTCCGGCCGTGCCGCTCGTCCACCGTCACGTACCCGGCGTAGTGCTTCGACGGCAGCGCGCCGTCGAAGCCCGGCAGCCCCGTCACCTCCGCGCCCTGCGGCGCCGCGCCGCAGCCAGCGGAGAGGGCGAGGACGAGGAGGGGGAGCAGCAGGGCCGCGGCGGCGACGCCGGAGCGGCGCCGGGCCATCGTGCGTACGAGGCTTCGATGGACGGTGGTAGTGTGGCTGTGGTTGCTAGCGACGAGTCGCGAGCCGCTGGCCGGGCCGTGGTGATTAATATGTTTGAGCGCGGCGTGCGTGCGGATATATAGGGCGGAATTGACGTCCACGCCACGGGACGGGATGGCGGTGACGAGCTCCGCTGATTGGAGGGAGCAGGGGGTGGCTGCATTTGTTGACAGATTTCCTTTTCTGACGATTGGTAAGATAATGAGCTTCCTTTATTTGGCACCCGAAACTAATGTCCTTCCATAATTTGACACCGGGTCTTAATTCAATTCCAATCTAACGCCACCGTACATTTTTTCTGTCTGACAAACGGTGTTAAAAGACACATGTAAATACACTTATGCCCTTAGACATCTAGCCAATCCCTCTCTTCCTTACTTCCCTCGCATACAAGTGAGACCCACTTGTCATCCCTTTTCTTCCTGCAGGTAGGTTGAAGAGAACCCTCAAATTTTCATGCTGCTGATGTTAGTTTTGATGAGCATGACCATGGCGTCCGAGCTCTGCCACATGGTGCGGAGAAAGGCGTGATTGCACATAATGTGATCGAGGGGCAGCATGAGAGGTTGAATACGACAGCGGGCCTCCGAGAGCGTGGCACCGACGGCCCACTCTGCGGCCGTAACTGCGACCCCACTAAATGACTATGGCCAAGGGAGGCACATCAGTGACGGGGAAGCGAAACGCCAATCAGGTGTTGGAGGAGTGCAGTGAGGCAGAACCACGCCAGTGAGTGACGGCTCTTGAAACAGACTTTCACACCGCTTTATAAATAAAACACCAACTAGTGTGCCAGCAAGCGGCAACTCAGGGATGCGCTGGAGCTGGGAGGAATTAGTGGCCTCGACACGTGTCCAGTACAGAGATAGAGGGAGGAGGAGGTCGGGGGTGTTGTGAGAAAGATGGGTTGTGTGCAAATTCCACCTCGAATTTCCTTCCGTTCGTTCTTGCCCCCTCTATTTCTTTATTTGGGCATGGGAGAATATCACATAAAAACCAACATTCAAAGAAAACTTCGTGGAAACCGTGTTTGAAAGTTTCGAAAAAAATCTGGGATGTTAAGAAGATGATGTTCTATCGCGATGCAAGATTCCAAGTTGAAACACATTACCGGATTCGAGCAATGAAATAAATAAATCCAACAATGAATAGTGATGTTGCTATCGGTAATATTCAATGCTGATTTTGCTTTTTTTTTCATAGCTCACATCCCGTAATGTGTCTGAACTTGGAGTTTCACATGGAAAAAGAACACACCGTCTTAACATCTACTTCCTCCGTTCCGAAATGTAAGTCTTTGTGGAGATTCCACTATAAACCACATACGGATGTATATAGATGCATATTAAGAGTAGATTCATTCATTTTCCTCGGTACGTAGTCCATCTAGTGGAATCTCTAGAAAGACTTATATTTAGGAACAGAGGGAGTAGTATATTTTTTCATATTTTTTTAAACTTCAAAACATTGTTTCGACGTGGCTTTTACCAGTTTTCACCGAGTGTTGGTTTTCATCCGATATTCTCCCATTTGGGCACATGATAAAGCCAAGGGCAAATGTGTCCTTCCACGTGCCATTTAACACCGTTAGCTCGAAAACTGACAGTAGTGTTGGACATGATATACAAGTATCAAATAAAAAAGTTTTTTTTCCTTCAAATAAAAAAGTTTTTTTTCCTTCAACGTCAAATAGAGAAGCCACTATCTTATTAGTTTCAGATAAAGGAATTCTTAGTTTGTCGTTTACCTGTTGTGGCCTGCCCTGCCCTGCCGTATAGTGCTGAACCTAAAGTGTCGCCGTATTTTACTAGCGTCAAACAAGGAATTCTGTCTTTGATGCTTACCCGTTGTGGCCTGCACTGCCGTGTAGTAGTGCTGGACGCAAGTGGACGCCGTAGGCGTTATTGGATTGCGTGGTGGAACGGACGCCGGCCGCATGCGCCAGTCCGGCCCGGCCGGCTGGTGGTGGGCGACGGATAACTTTGGTTTGTGCGCGTTAGTGGACCGATCGTGCCAACATCTGTGGACTGTGGTGCTCACTTTCATGCACAGTCGTGGCAATGCTTGCACCAGATTGTTTACAATTCCCAGAACAAACGGTGCAATCAATCAACAACCGTCCGGGTGCATCGATGCAATCGATGGGAAGGACATTTCTGTGGGAGTTGGACAAGAAATGGGAGAGAGTGCCGTGTTAGCAACAGGGAGCAAACTAATCAATCATGGTACACTCATGTGGAGCAATCAATCACAAAGCTTCCCCTCGGATCACCCACGCGCCCAGTTTACACTCCCTCCGTTCACAAATATAACGTCATGTTTTAAACCTTCTTTTAAAAAGATTGTGTAAACTTTGGTGGAAGCGTTGAACCCTTTGCTCGGGCCGCATCTCTATTTATATCACATATGTGCCGTGGCTTACAAGAGATCGAGAGAGATCGTGATCGATCGGTACAGGAGATCGGGGAGGTTACAACAGAAGAAGAGATAGAAAGATACAAGTTTAAACCACCTCTTCTACCTCTATACAATATCATCTAACACTCCCCCTCAATTTAAACCTCAAGATACTTTCGCAAGGTTAAGATTGTACTTGAACTCATCCAACCTTCTCATAGTAAGAGGTTTTGTGAAGCCATCAGCAAGTTGATCTCCAGTAGGTATAAACCGAATGTCAAGTAGCCTTCGAGCTACCCTTTCTCTAACAAAGTGGAAATCAACCTCAATATGCTTGGTTCGTGCATGAAAAACATGATTAGCTGAAAGATAAGTTGCACCAATATTATCACACCATAATCTAGCAGCTTGTGGAGTCTTGATTCCAAGTTCATAGAGCAATGTTTGTATCCACATTACTTCTGCTGTAGCATTAGCCAAAGCTTTATATTCAGCCTCTGTACTTGACCTTGAGACAGTAGCCTGTTTTCTTGCACTCCATGACACAAGATTAGTTCCCAGAAAAACAGCAAAACCACCTGTAGACCTTCTATCATCAGCACACCCTGCCCAGTCTGCATCAGAGTAGGCAGTAACAAGTAGAGAAGAAGACTTGGTAATCTGAAGCCCAAGTCCTTCAGAAAACTTTAGATATCGTAAAATCCTCTTGACTGCAGTCCAATGAGTTGTTCTAGGTGCATGTAAATACTGACATACCTTATTCACAGAGTAAGAAATATCAGGACGTGTAAGGGTCAGATACTGCGAAGCACCCACAACACTTCTGTAATTAGTTGCATCCTCTGGTCCAAGTGCTTCTCCACTCTCAATTATAAGTTTTTCAGAAGTGGAAATTGGTGTACTCACAGGTTTACAATTGTACAAACCGACTCTCCTGAGCATATCAGTTGTATATTTTTCCTGCGTAAGCAATATACCATCCTTGATCTGCTTCACTTCTATGCCAAGAAAATAGTGGAGATCTCCCAAGTCCTTGAGAGCAAACTCTAACTTTAAATCTTTAAGCAAACATGTAGTAGCATCTGAACTTGAGCTTGCAACAATTATATCATCAACATAAACAAGCACAAATATAGTAATATTGTCTTTATGATAAAAGAACAATGAGGTATCTGCTTTGGATGACTTGAACCCAAGTTGTTGTAACTGCATGCTCAACCGTGAGTACCAGGCTCTAGGAGCCTGTTTCAGATCATATAGAGCTTTATCCAACTTACAGACATGATGAGGTGTGTTTTGATTTTCATATCCAGGTGGCTGCCGCATGAACACTTCTTCCTCAAGAACACCATGAAGAAACGCGTTCTGAACATCTAGCTGACGTAAACTCCAACCTCTGGAAATAGCAATAGATAATACAAGTCGAATAGTGGCTGCCTTAACAACATGGCTAAATGTATCTTCATAATCAATACCAAATCTCTGCTTGAAACCCTTGGCAACTAATCTAGCCTTATATCTGTCTATGCTTCCATCAGGTTTCCTTTTTATTTTATATACCCATTTGCAATCTATAACATTGCTACCTTTCTTTGGAGGTACTAAGTGCCAAGTTCTATTTTTCATGAGGGCATCATATTCATTATCCATAGCCTCCTTCCACTCTTTATGAGCTAGAGCATCATGCAGATTATTTGGTTCTCCAACAATACTAAGAAAAGCACGTTTGACTCTGTCATATCGTATCATACCATCAGTATACTCCTTTTCTTTGATAATACCTGACTGTGACCGAGTGTGTCGACGAGGAGGCTGAGGTAGCTGATGACGTAGCCATAGGAGATCCAGAAGCAGTAGACACCTCCACAAAGGATCCAGGCACCGGATCCGAGGCAGATTCTGCCCCTGTAGCTGATCCAGGCGCTGCAGACGCAGGTGTCCCCCTGTCGCCAGTCGCGCCAATCACCGCGTCGTCCCCGCCCACGCCTGGGCTGGCGGGCTCCACCTGGTGGCGGCTGTCGGGCACACACGCACCTGCACCCGCGCCTTGGCCCACGCCTGGGGTGGCGGGCTCCACCTGGCGGACGGTTTCACCCAATCGCGAGGCGAGACATGCGGGGTCCGGCTGGTCGGCCACCCGTGTTTCAGTAGACGCATGCAGGGGAGGGAGATCCTCCTGGGATCGCGCGCCGCCAGAGACAGGCGGGCTGACGCGAGGATCTACATGGGATCCAGCACCACTGCCAACCGAATCAGCCTGGGATCTTGCGCCTGTTTCATCCGAATCTGCACACATAAAATGACGACCACAATCTGCAGAATTACAGTTTTCTTTGGAATTTTCCACATGATCAGCTTTATTTAATTCACCCCCGTGATCTGGAAGCAAGGCTATTTCAGCACGAAGAAGGGCTCCTGCGTTGGGATTAAGTTTGGCAAAAGGAAACAAAGTTTCATCAAAAACAACATCCCTGGAAATATAAATACGTCCAGTAGCAATTTCCAGGCACTTATAGCCTTTATGAAGGTTACTATAGCCAAGAAAAGCACATTGAGTAGAACG